ATACAGGCACTCTAAATATGCGGTCCTCTCGAAAAGTTGGTGGTAGGGGAAGTGGGGTAAGAGAACCTTGAACCCGCCCCCTCCCTGGCGTCAGAACTAAGTAAAGTCGTACTTTCACTATGGTACTCAAGGCTCTTATTAGCGACAGGTGCAGTCTTGAACTCCTTGCCACGATGAATTTCGTGGTCTTGTTCTAATTTTACTGCCAGACAAATAAGATAAGTCACAGCAATACAACACAGCAATATGAAATAAAAGTATTTTCTAATTAATATATTATATAAGCTTTCTTAATTCATTTGCATATTACAAATTTGTTTTCGTATTTTAACTACTTTGGTGAAATAAATTAAGAGAATTTTCATAATTGATATACTATCTCCGGAACTACTGAACAGATTTTAATAAAATTTGGTGTGAACATAGGTTCATATAATACAAACAAAATAAACATTCAAAGTAATAATAGGTATACATGTTCGTGTGTAACACTCCTCGGAGTCGGAAGGTCTGAAACAGCGGTTGCAAAAGACAGACAAGAAAGGGGTTAATAGAGGGTATGGTCTCCTTTAGAGCCATACAGGCATCGCAGCGTGATGTCATACTGGAATTAAGGCAGTTTAGCGGTGCCTGTGGCAAATGGTCCCACTCATTCAGCAATGGTGTTTTCAGTTCTTGGATGGTTCTCAGAGAGGAGTTGCGAATTGCCTTCCCCAGAGTGTCCCACACATGCTGTATAGGATTGAAGTCTGGAGACCTGGCTTGCCAATCCATCCGGGGAATATCCTCACTCTCGAGAAATTCGTCGACCAGAAGAGCTCTATGTGGCCTCACGTTATCGTCCTGTAAGATGAACTCGGGGCCCATTGCACCCTGGAAAAGGCGAACATAGAGTTCCAAGACCTCATCCCTATACCTCACACCAGTCAAGGAGACTCTGTCAAAGACGTGGAGAGGTGTGCGGCCATCAAACATGATGCCTGCCCAGACCATTACACCGCCACCGCCATAACTGTTGATTTCGCGGACATTGGATGGTAGGTGGTGGGTCCCTGGCTCTCTCCATATGAAAGTATGGCGAAAATCGGTAATTAGGCTAAAACGGGACTCGTCGGTGAGCAGAATGGCCACCCATTGTTCCGTACTCCAATCACTATGCTGCCTGCACCATGCTAATCGGACTCTCCTATCCGTAGACGTGAGCGGGATGCAAACAGTCGGTCTTCTGGCTACAAACCTCTCTCATTCAGTCTTTTGGAAACAGTCACGCTTGTTACACGCGTTCCTGTGGCTGCATACAGGTCCCGAGAGAACTGAGAAGCTGTAGCCCCCTCTGTAATGCCTCTCTAAAATGGACAAATAGCGATCTTCTCTGGCCGTGGGGCCTCTTGGATGACCTTGCCCAGGCTTTCTCTAGATGGATCTAGTAGCCTGGAACTGTTTCCATAAGTTACAGACTGCGCTGGGCGTTAAATTAAACTCTCTTCATATCTGAACTTGCGATTGGCCTGCCTCTAGCCTGCCCACCAGTTCATTCCATCATCTAAACGTTGGTGGTTACTCATTTTTACTGTTCCGATGTGAATTGCTGCCAAATTGCCAAGAAATTCGCCGAAGTGTGCTTAGCGAACGCAATTCGTTTTACCCTCCACGCGCTTATAAAGCCTGTTTTTCTGCTAGCTCCCCATACACACGTGTACGCTTGTGTATTTGTCGTGCAAGATTTGAATTTTTATCTAGAAGCAGTGGTTTTTCCTTCAGTTCAGTTTTTTCCATGCAATTCGATAAAGTATGCAAATTCTCTTAATTTATTTCACCAGTGTATTTGTAATATAATGTGGATTTTGTTTTACTATTTTTTGCCCACATTTTTTTAAAACTTATCTTTATTTTGAGTTCAAATGGAATAACAGTTCATATAATTTTGGTTATTTTATTTTGGGCTAATTGGTTAAGTTTTAAGTAGAGAACAATTCGGATATTTTAAATAGCTCTAGTGGAAACAGAGATCCTGCTTTTTGCAAATCTACTAGCTCTAGACGACATTTATTGAAATGTCGCTACATTTGACGACATTTTGAAGGCTTCAGAAAGGTATCCATAACCAAAGCGTCAATCTGAAAGATTTTATCAAGAAAATTAACATTCTGCTCCCTTCCGCAGAAAAAGCCTAAAAGACTAATCTACAAAACTCACGAAACAGCTCAAATGAGACTTGGGAATAAATTCAAAGCGGTTTAATAAATGAGGGTTTACATTCTTATTAAGCTCTTTTGTAAGCCTTAATTATGGCGAATTTATGGAGTAAAGAATCCCTCATCCTTTCCGAATATCTCAACTTATGAGCACAGGGTATGTTAACCACTTTTTTAAAAATAAACCCATTAAGTGCCATTAAGTAACGTTTGGTGTCTCTTCACAGTGCCATAAAATATAAATGAAATTGTGAAAAATGCGCATGTTCATTCATTAATATGATTAATACTGACGGGATAATTATTCATATTAATCATTTGATGATTTTAACATGATATAAATCGTTAGAATATTTGTAGGGCTTAACTCTTATTAAAAGCTTATTATTTTGCTTATACTATTATTTTTATTTCCCTTGGCTCCCACCAGGATGCAAATTATTTAATATGTGTAACAACAGAGTTGTTGATTTTGCGAGATAATTTTGGCCTTTTCTTGTTACCTCTGGACCGTTTTAATATAATTTTCGCCTAACTTCTAAATTTATTTCAATTAGCTTTACCCTTTTCTATTCGTGTTTGCTTGCGTGAGTCAAGAGCTCGACGAAAACTTATAGGCGAACTTTGTCTACTAAATATCATTGATTAAATGCTTGAGTTAAGCTTTAATATTTGTATTCTGTTATCCTTTTGTGTTCTGTAATTAACGTATATAGAACATTAATTTCTGGGTGTCAGAAAGATGAAAAATAACCCTATCTTCATCGGGGTTTGAACTACGGATCTTCTCATTGTTAACCGGGCATGCTGATTACTCACAAAACAAGTGAACGCACAAGAAAAAGTAGGAATTATTTGTGCTCTCTACAACTCAAAGGATCAATGATAAAAATCTCGAGACCTAGTCGAGCAAGTTCGATTGGTGACGAGAGATTGCCAGCCATATTTTCGTCCAAACGCTAATGAAAAGACCATTAGAATTTTTGGTGTAAGGAGCTGGAAAAATTCAATTGTGTCCTCGCAAGCATTAGAACCACGGTTATGCCAATATTTAAAAGTGAATATTTATTTAAAAATTATCATTATTTAAAATTTAAATGCTTATTATTTTAAATTTATTATTTAAAATTTTTTAATTTAAAATTTTCTCTTTATTTAAAAATGAAATTTTGTCACTTTAACTAAAGTCTGCTAAAATAAAGCTACTCTTCAAATACACAAATTTATGGTTATAAGATATTTTCTCCCTTCTTTCCGCATGCCTTCGTGGTGTAATTGGGACTATACTCGAAAGGTCCTGGGTTCGAGTCCCAGCGAGGGCACTGCAGATTTTCACGTCTCCTGCTTCAAAATAACCTAATGATCCTACAAGTGGCGCCCCAACTAAAATGTGGTGTACTGTAATTCGTCACCACAAGGATTTGGCGATTGGGTCCCATAATTCCCAGTCACCCCTTATTTTCTCTCTCCTTTCCACATGTTTTCGTAATATAATTGGAAGCATACTCGAAGCCTATTCGAGAGGTCCATGGTTCCAGACCCGCCATGAGCGCTGCATATTTTTCACATCTCCTGCTTCAAAATAACCTAATGATTCTACACAATTAAATATCTCAAAATTTCAGGTGAGGGAGGTAGTGATTTTAAATATTTTGTTCAGATTCCTTAAATTTTTTTGAAATTTCACCAACGAGTGCTTTTTGAAAAAATAAAAAATAATATTTTATAGCTGGAGATCAAAAGCATTGGATTAACAAAAAAGCCACGGAAAAGTGGTGGAATAAAACATTACTTCTTATTATCAAATGCCTTTTTCGCTTAGAAATATAGTTAGAAAGTAGATAAAAGGCCTTCAAAAAGAAACTTCAGAATGTTATTCAAAATATTTACTATGCATAAAAGTTTTTCTAAAATTGTGTAAACACATTCTGTATTTAAAATGCTTAAATTTGGTTTTCTTTAAACTGAAAAAGTGATTAATTTTGATTACTTGTTTTAAGATAAAATACGAAGGACTGGTTTGAAGGCATTTGAGTAAATAAAATAACAAAAGCTGCTAATTAGAGTTACGGCTTTTAATTTGCGTTTATATAATTAAAACTAAAACTGTAAAAACAAAGCAAAAAAGTAATAGTAATAATATTTAAAATGTATATCTCTCTAAAAATTCATTGGAAATGTCTGATTTCCTCATGTTTTACGCTGAATTTAAATTTATCAAACGAGAATTTTACTTTATCAAACAAGTATTAAGTTTTCTAATTTGATAAGAACTTCATACTTTTCAGCTTTAAAGTCACAGTTGTTTACAGATAATAGAAATAATGTTGAAGCATTAGTACATGTAAAAATCGATTCAAATTTCTTTTAAGGAGCGAACTTCATTAAGATTTGTCATTGGAATAACTGTTTAATTTCTGCCCATGGAATCTATTATAAACTCTTAATAAGTGACAAAAATATGCAACGGTTCTTAAAATATTTGTGCGGCATGTATGCGCATGGAAAATTCGCAAATACTTACATTTTATTTCTCTCACCTTAATATTAGCAAACGAAGCACAGAAATAGATTTCCCCTAGAAATTTTTTAATCAAACAAAAACTCGCAGATGTGGAGTTCCAAATTTTTATATAGAAGAAGGATATATTTAAGGCATTTGCAAAAGATTGCATGATAATTATTAAATGTTTTACATGTGTATGCTTTGTCCAACGTAGTCTTTGAAACTATATAGCATTACAGCTAATTTTCGTCATATATAAAATAGCTAGCTACTTATTTAAATTATAAATAAAAACATACCTTATTCATTCCATTTCCCATCCTTCAGCAGCATTTTACTATACACCAGCTTTTAGAGCTTTGAGCTGCAAAGTTTAATAAAACAATTAAAAACTTCTCAGACTTTAATTCTGTAAATTCAGTCATTATTGAGCGTAATTGGCACTTAGAAGCAGTTTAATAGAAATAATCATAACAGATATTTCCTGGCTTTTGGAACTTGTACAAACCAAACTTTTTACTCCCTAACATAGATCGAAACCTAAATATCACATAGCGGCACTTAAATAGTTAAAGTTCTCGTAGCATTTTTATATTGTTATGGAGTTTCGCTTCGCTGTGAAGCTGAAAATTGGTGTCGAATAACGTGATATGCATGCTAAGTATCATTGTAAAAATCGCATGCAGATGTAAATTTAGCGAAGTGCTCGAGTACACTGCGACGTTCGATAGGTTCTGAAAATAATTTCTCCTCTCACAACCGTCGAACGAAAGGTACGCGCCATATTAATCGGCCATCTGGTGGCTATTCGAAAAACTGTTTTTTTCCCCTTCAGATAGTAATTCTTTACTTTGTCCACTCCTAGGAAATAGCAGCTGAAATATATCGACACCAAATTTCCACAGTACAGTGACCTAATGAGACTAGGGAAAATGTCTTAAATACAATCAAAAAGTAATTTGTCACCTCTATGTTAAAGAAGTATGATTGTATAATACTTTATAAGTTTACAAAAATGAAACTGCCCTTGCGCTTTCAAAACGGGAAAATATTTCTAAAATAGATTTATTTCGTTAAAATGGACGGGTAAGAAGAATTAACAAAAACAATACCGATTATATGACGAATAAAGAAGGTATTTTAAAAATAGAAATATAAAAAATAGCGAATCATTTATTTATTGATTTATTTATCTTGCTTATTTGGGATTACACACTAATTTTTGCACAAGTAATAAAAAGCTGTCTTTGAAAAATAGAAATTAAGAAAATAAACTGTAAGAATTAAAATTTTTCATTGTTATGACTTGTTTTGCAATAGTTGTTAACTAATTATTAATTCATTTTTAGCTAATATAACCATAAATAGTAATAAAACATAAAGTTCAGAATTAAAATTGCGAACCTGCGAAATACATATAATCAAATATATCTTTCTAAAAAGAAACTTAATAGTTAATTTTTTTCAACAGCACGGGAATGAGTGGACAAGACATCAAAACTTGACCCCCTGAGGGACATATACGAGTATAGTGGCATCGAACTGCAGCGAAACCTAAAAATGTTGCTAGAAGAGAAAATTACGCTACGTATAAATGAATGTAGTAGTGAATGACATTAGATTGGATTGAATTATTTGAATTACAGCAATAATAATCTGCCTAAGAAGAGCGAGATTCCTTCGTGAATGACTTTTGAGTGGAAGAAATCTGACCATATAAGGTATTTCTCTCGCCTTCCTAGCGTGCCTTCGGGGTGTAGTGGTTCTGCACGCTGGGCCGGTATTCCAGAGATCTGTGGTTCGATTCCCGGTGAAGGAGGTTGCTAATTTTTCATCTTGCCTGCTTCCAAATAAAACCTACTGTCTCTACAGTGGCTCCCGAACTAAAAGGGTGATGGATGATGACTCTCAACCCCAGGATTTGGCGATTGGGTCTCCTAAGAACCCCAGTCGTCCTTTAAAAGGGGGAGTATATAAGGTATTTCTCCTGCCTTCCTAGCGTGTCTTCGTGGTGTAGTGGTTCTGCACGGTGGGCTGGTATTCCAGAGATCCGTGGTTCGATTACAGGCGAAGGAGATTGCTAATTTTTCGTCTTGCCTTCTTCCAAAAAAAAAAACCTAATGTGTCTACAACCAGAGCATAAAATAGTGACCAAATCAACCTTATTCTCTCTTCTATTGCAATGAGATTTAATATTTTAAAATCTGAAGATGCTAGTAGTTACAAAAACTACATTTTCAAAAAGTACTAATTGAACATACATATTTTATCTTAAATGATATTCAACTGTAAAGAGCATTTCGATCAGAAAATTTACAAAAATTTAAATAAAATCTGTTAACTTACAAATTGGAACGTAGGATCACGAAATACCTTAATTATTACTTAAAAAGCAGCTAAAAAAAGTCAAACCTTATTACTGAATATTCATGGGAAATCAAACTATATAAAGAAGAAAGTCTGTTTGTTTGTTCGCTAATAACTCAGCCACTACTACAGATATCGTCACCAAATTTTCTACAATTCTTTTCGGGGTCTTGGAAAAGGTCGACGTCCACTTTTTTCAAAAAAAAAAAAAAAAAAAAAAAAAAAAAAAAAAAAAAGCTAAAATCAGATATATTAATTATAAACGCTTAAAACGCTCATTTTCGCCCTCCTTTTCCGAGTGGCAACAGTCTCACACGTTGCTCGTTGCTCGCTTTCAAATCGTAGAGTTTGTTAATAAAAAATTTCTAAGCTTTACAATGAAATAAAAATATCATTGCCAAATATTAAATACATTAGCTCCGATTCCAAAAAATCGTGGGAAGCCATTTCGACTTCTCATACTCGCACGACTTTAATCAGCCGAGATATTAATTAAAAACTCTGAAAGGGCTAATTTTCGCACTCATTTTTGCGAGTGGCAACAGTCTCGCGCGTTGGAGATAAAAATTCTTTATTTCAAAAAGTGTTGCTACTGCTCGCTTTCAAATCGTAGAGTTTGTTATTCAAAAATTTGAGGTTTTACAAAATCTCTCTATATAAAGAATGCCTGTTTATTTGTTTGTTCGCGTTATCGATTTCTGATCAATTAACTGATAATTTTTGCCACCTTTAATAGACTAAAATTGAATATAGTGAAATACTAGGTGGAACTTGAGCTTTTACGAAGAAAGACGAATAGAAGAATAGAATTAAAAACTACGGCCATTGTTTTTGATATAATGAGAAAGAATTAGTTTATTTTTCTCTCGAAACTTTTTATGCGGGTTCCGTATCGCATCAGACTGAAAAATGTATGACTATGAATCGTATTTTTGGCATCGTTATTAGAGAAGGATTACAAAGAAGATATGGTTCTCTCTGTTAGATACATCACTCTCAATCTAACTTAACTTGCATCGGGTACTTCCGCTAGTATTAAATAAATTAATAAACATTTTAAGGTTAAATGTAAACCATTTTATTTAAATGGTTGCATTAAACGTTAAAATAGTAATTTGGAGAAGGGAGAGTTCCCGCCTTTGTGGCGAAAATGTTAAAGCAATTACAGAAATGTGAAATAAAGCTACAGTTCTAAACTTTATAAGTGTTTTCGAGTTATTGAAAAATTGTTATTTATATAATATGAACTTTCATGGATCGACGAGCCCGAATTAGAAACGAATCAGCGACGTCTAAATAGTGAGTTCGGGAAAACGAAAGTGTGCTCTTCTTCCGAAGCGATTGTGTTGTGTAACCTATGTTCATAATAATGGAAGAAAAAATTAATTCGTTAAAGCGTGAAAAAGCTACCCTAAAAGGTAAAATCACCCGTTTAGAAACCTTTGTAGAATCGGTGGTTGAATCTATAAGTGAATATTATAACCGAATTAGAAGTAAAATTAGAAAATGTGTGCACCGTCAAAAGATGTATAGCTGAATTACAAAAAGGATTACAAATTGCGTTTAAAAGTGGATATTAGTGAAGCAGAATCGGATTTGGAAGAGATGCAGGTTCGTCTGGAAAAAAATCTACGTAAGATTAAAAACATTCTTACATAAATTAAATGTGAAGCTTTATGTGAAAAGTACTGAGAATGAACAAGGTAAAATAAGTGTTGATAATTGCTCTAAAATACCCCTAGATGTAAAGCTTCTGAAATTGAGTTTACCTACATTTACTGGCAATGTTTATGAATGGATAGCTTTTAATGATCTATTTAAGGCTGTTGTGCATAACAAGATAATTTGTCAAAAGGACAAAAACTTCAATATTTATTATCAGCTCTTAAAGGCGATTCACTCTGAGTCGTAAAGTCAATCCAAGTTTCGAATCAAAATCATGACGTTGCTTGGTCACTGTTACAAGAAAGATTTTCCAATCATCGAGAACAGGTTTTTGCACACATTAAGCGATTTATGTCAATTCCACCTGTTCACAGTGAATCTGCTAGTGCTTTACTAAATTTGGTTGACATTATCTTTGAATGTATGATTTGACATCGACTTAAAATTACAATATAAAATTTTAATTGAGAATTTTACGAAAACTTATTTATTAATTCAAATATGTATCTTAATTACATTTTTAAATTTTAAATAACATTAAAATGTCTATTACGCAACAAAATATTAAATATTGTTGCGCTTTTTTTTCTGACACCAGTTGTTACGTTATTTTCTTCCTTCCCGTTCGTACGGGATTTGTGTGGATTTGGAGTAATAACGACGACTCTTGATGAATTAGCGAAACACACTTTATTTAGCCAATATTAATCAGAACAGCTCCAAAACACTTTTACAGTCGTCGAAGATCTACTATAAACACGCTGGACAATCAGCGACACAGTCTTCACACTATCAGGCAATAACGGTGGAGACAGCTTCACTGCAAAGCATCAGAATACAGCTCCCGACTCTGCTTAGTCGTTCTCGGAACTCCACGTACTCTCGAGACTCTCCACGCTACAACTCGCGATGCACTCGACGACACAACAGAGCACCGGCTTTCGACTCTTCGGTTCAGTTGTTCCCAGGGCTTAACACAATCTCTCGACGATGCACTAACCACGATACACTACGAGACTCTTTCGGTGCACTCGACGACCCACTCAGCACTCGCTGCCGGCTGTCAACGCGATCGACTCCGCAGGGATTGACTCGCTAGACGAGACACCAACTCGATACTAACTAACTCTCCGCGTACCAAGCAGGGTTTATATAGCTTTTGACTGGTGTTCGAGAACGTTCTGGGCTAAACCGGTAAGAATTGGTTCCAGAAGGTTCTCCATCCGTCCATGGCATATCGCCAATTCTATTGCCAAATGTCGCCAAACGGACGATTTCTCGCCAAATGTGGCAACTTTGCATTAGTTTGCCATTTTATGGCAACCCTAAAACTGCTTTGCGGGGAAGCTATCTTGCCTCTCCTGTACATTTCGTAACAATATATTATATGACTTAATAGCAAAAATGAAACAAAAATATTAAAATATTTAAGTATGTTTACGTAAAATAACACAATAAATATTTAAAAAAATGAAATCTATAATGTTGTAGAGACATTAGGTATTTTTGAAAGTAGGAAGATGGAAAATGAGCAACACCTTCGCCGGGACTCAAACCACGGGTTTCTCGAATACGCGTCGAGCGTGCTAACTACTACACCACGAAAGCATGCCAAGAAGGCGGGAGAAATACCTTATAATGTAACATCTTTAATGTAATAATCTATTCGAAAAA